TATATATGAGTGTGTGTGTGTGTGTGTATTTATAGTTACTAGAACATTTAAAATGACAAACGTGACCAACCTCCAGGGCTCTTACTTCCCCAGCAATAAAATACTAACTATCCTCACAGACTCAGCCACAGGCCAGCCCTGCATCCACATTCCACGTGAGTTCTGGCTCATCCTCACCAGCGTTGAGAGGAAGATTATTCATCCCATTTTAGAGCTAAAGAAACTAAGGCTCAGTGAGATGAAAGTGCAGTCTCCAGGCCACCTGGCCAGAGTGAGATGGGGAGCCTCAGCTTCTAGGGCACCCCTTGTCCCAGGCTGGCCTGGCTGGCGATGGTGAAATTATGTTACAGAGGTTGCTGGAATTCACCAGTGGACCGAGGTGCTGCAATGGCTGGGTGATCGATCCCTCACAGAGGAGGAATGAGTCAGTGTCAAGGCATTTGGTACAGGGTCAGAGGGGTGGGAGACGAAGTCTCCCCGAGAGGCACAGCTGCCACTTGTTCTGATGGGCCCTCTCTAGCTGCGGTTCCCTTTGGGCAGGAGACCCTGTGTACGAACTGGGGCATCCAGTGGAGAGAGGCTGTGGGGCCGGAAGCAAGGCTTTTGCTGGGCCCCATCCACATAGAGTGTTTCTGGAAGGCCCTGATGGCTCATAAAATTCTATTTTTAAATACTCGGCTGTTTCCAGGACACAGAGTGGGAGGTATTTGTCTTGCAGCCCTCGTGTCGCAGAGACTCAAATACAGCCCCCCAACACCTCTATCACCCTGACACACACTCAGTCTGGCCCAGTGACTCTCTTCCCAAACCTGGCATACGAAAACTGAGAGTTACTACACAATACTGAGATTAACGCTGCTACTCCCATCCCTGCCCCCATCATCATGGCTGCTATCATAACCACTGCCATTGCTGCCATCACTACCACCATAATCATCACTAACATCAACCCCACCCCACTGCCATCACTACCATCACTACCATCATCACTCCCACTGCTACCACCACCATCACCAACATCAACCCCACCCCACTGCCATCACTACCATCACTACCATCATCACTCCCACTGCTACCACCACCATCACCAACATCAACCCCACCCCACTGCCATCACTACCATCACTACCATCATCACTCCCACTGCTACCACCACCATCACCAACATCAACACCACCCCACCGCCATCACTACCATCATCATCACCAACATCAACACCACTCCACCACCATCACCAACACCACCTCACCACCATCACTACCATCACTACCATCATCATCACCAGCATCAACACCACTCCACCACCATCACCAACACCACCTCACTGCCATCACTACCATCACTACCATCATCATCACCAACATCAACCCCACCCCCCCACCATCACCAACACCACCTCACTGCCATCACTACCATCACTACCATCATCATCACCAACATCAACCCCACCCCCCCACCATCACCAACACCACCTCACTGCCATCACTACCATCACTACCATCATCATCACCAACATCAACACCACTCCACTACCATCACCACCACCACTACCCCACCACTATGACCACCATCCCTACCCCCATCATCACTCCCACTACAACCAACACCATCATCACTACCACAACCATTACTATCCTCATCATCACTACCACAACCATCATAACACCACCCTGATCACCACCATCATTATCACCCCATCACCATCTTCACCCCCCCATTGCCACCATCATCATCATGACCCTACCATGACCACAACCATCATAACACCACCATCACCATTACCACCACTGACATCATTACTACTGGTACCAATATCACCACGATTGTCACAACCACCCTCCACTACCACTATCATCATTATCATCACCACCATCACTAGCACCACTGTCATCCTCTCTCAATCACCACCATCACCACCCCATCACCACTATCATCACCATCACTACCACTATCAACACCACCATCACAACTATCTTCACAACCAGCACTCCTACTGCCATCGACACTACCAGCGCCATCCACCCATTCATCATCACCAGCACCACTGCCAGCATCTTGGCATTTCCTTCTCCAAATTTGATGTCATCTTTTATATTTCTGCTGTATTTTATAAAGTGTTTTCTATCTAAGGCTTCATTTGTTCTTTATGGACAGAAAAACTAGTGCTCAGAGAGAGGTAGTAATTCCCAAGGTCAAACAAAAAGTGGGTTGCTCAAACCAGAAACTTGGGTTCAACCTTTGGGTTTTGGTTCCAAGGCTATTTCTGCCATGTGTTGCTGCCCATTTCACTGTGTGGTACCCAAAACTCGCTAAAAAAAGGATCCCCGAAACATTAGCACTCACAGTGATCATAGCATGCATTCCTTCCCAATCCTTCATACCAACAGCAAGACCAGAGTGTACAAGGCGTGAGTGAAAGGTCACACAGCAAGTTACTGATCGGGGCCAGCACTCCTCTTGCTAAATTCCCTCTAGCCCATCAGTGCCCCACCCAGCCCTCCACTGAGTCAAGCCCGAGAAGCCTCCTGGCAGGCAAGTCTGCTGGAGCGCCTCTTATTCTTCTCTGGCTGTTTGGTGAGCTCACCCTGTTGCAGCTGTTAAGGGGGATTAGCACTTCGGTTCTATTTTTGGGACACAAATATTTTCCCACAACCAGTTTGTTGCAGACTAATTTGGATCTGTCCCAGGTTACTCATTTACACACTCCAGGAGGGAAAAAGAATGTCAGGAGTCGGCCTGAATGAGGCGGAGCAGCTGTGCCCAGGTAACAGCATAACCCTCCATGCTGGGGCGAGAAGGGCTAGTCTTTCCCCTAGGTGGAGAGGCACGAGTTCTCACCACCTGGTGGGTCCCTGGTGGACCCCAGCCAGCTGTGCACTTGGGTGGCTTGTCTGCAAGGCCACCAAGTGCACTGCTTCCCACAGGCAAGGGGGCTGGCTCAGCACTCCCAGGGCAAGACATCCCACTCAACCTCCCCAGTCCCCACTCCAAGGTCACCTTCCTAGGCATCAGCCCAATACTTGAGGCACTAAAACCTGGCTTCTACCTGCTTCCCAGCCTCACCCTTGTAGCCCTCCATGCAAGCCCTGGATTCTAATCATTCTAGAGCAGAAGAGCAGTGCGTGCAGAGTCAAACAGGCCTAAGTTCAAATCCCGGCTCTGCCATGTCTTCCTGTGTAAGCTTGGGCAAGTTCCTTTACTTCTCTGATTTTTTGAGTCCTTGGGGGTTGCTATCAGTGTCTAAGAGGGGACATTCCAGAAAGCACTGGGCATGTTGTCTATACACATTGAAACCGCAATTCCTTCCCTTCCCTACCGGGTTCTATGTCTTTAGGACAGGGATGTCGTCTGTCTGTCTTCTTCAGGATACCCGGCCCAGGAAGATGCCCATGAGTGTTTGTGGGCGGAATAAACATACTTCTGCTAGTGTGGAACATCAAAGCGTCTCTCACTGTCTACGTGGTCATCAAGTGGAGTTTGCTCATCTCCTCTGGGCCAGGAGTTGGACTGGGAGTCAGAGGCATAAATGCAAACCAGCCAAGGTCTTGTTCTCTGTGGGGCCAAGATACCCCACTAGGGGGCTGTCGCCAAAGGCTCGTGGCCCAGCCTGGGAGAGGGGGCTGGAGTGGCTTTCTGGAGTAGGTGATGTCTACACTGGTGATTAAAGGTCAAACGAGAGCTGAGCATGTGACAGGGGAAGGAGGGAGCCCTTCCTAGACAGAGAAGCAAGCACGTGCAAAGCCCAGGGGTGAGAGTCACGGCTTGTCCAAGGAACTGGAAAGGCTCAGTGTGGCCGGATGTGGAGGTCAGGTGGTATGAGGTCGGTGGGGCTGGGGCTGGGGCTGTGCAGGGAGGGCAGGGCAGGGCAGAGCAGCCTGGCTAATGGGGAACGGATGTTGTTCTAAGGGCACTTGGGATCCACGGGGAGGTTAAGCAGGGGTGGGGTGCAGTCAGGCTGGTCCTCTGGCAGCTCCCAGCTGGCGAAAGGACCCCCACAGAGGACCATGTAGTTCCAGGTGCCTACACAGGCACGAGTGCCCGCTGGCTCTGGGATCCCCAGCATGGGCAGGTGGGCTTCACACTCACCCGGACACCAGGGATGCCAGGGGGGCCGGGGGGCCCATCCTCACCCGTCAGTCCTTCCTGGCCCTTCTCACCATGTTCACCATCAGGCCCTGGGTCACCTCTGTCACCCTGCGTTGGGACAACATGGGGAGGAGAGAGAGAGGACAAGTTAGTGACCAGGTCTAACAGAGGTTGAAACTTTGGGGGTTTCATTAGAACATCCACAGCCAACTGGCCCTGGACTCCCCCGACAGGTCCCTGGGCTGCCGGAAGGGTCGGGGCTGGCGCGGTGGCTGGCACAGGAACTGTCCCAGATGTGGCAGTTTTCATGTGTCCCTGGACCTGGGACGTGGTGGGGGAGTGGCTCAGAGAGAAGCCCGGATCCTGCCCATGACCACCCACGGCAGGAAGCAGCCAGGTTTTGGAGTCAGGGACAGTTTCACTCCAGCTCAGACACTGGGAGAATAAGAATCTTAATAAGTGGAAAGACATCTTTATCAAGGGAAAAAGTGCACCCAAACCAACTTAGACCCATAATAGTAATAACAATACAGCATAGGAAACAATTCTGGTCGCTACTTGGCAGGCTCAGGGCAGTCAGACGACGTTCCCCAGCAATGCAGTGAGGTCACAGGAAACGAGGCTCAAAGACATAACCCAGCTGGACAGCAGCGTCCATCTCTGGTTGCTGCTCTTCTTTTCTCCATTGTGAGCCCGCCCTCCTGCTGCTGCCTGCACTGCATGGTTGTCGTTCTCACTGCTGCTAACAGCCCCTCCAAGCAGATGACCGATAACATTTACTAGGCATTTACTGCACTCTGGGTCTTTAACTGTGTTAACTGACTCGATCCTCACAAAAGCACAGGTTCTGGTCCCATTTCGCAGATGGGAAAGCCAAGGCAGAGTGCAGTTAGTGGTCTGGCCCAGACTCCCACAGCTTGCTAGTGGCCGAGCTGCACTGTGAAGCAGGTCGACACCTGGCCAGCTCCCGGCGACAGCCTGACGGATGTTCCCTTGACAGAAGGTATGTAACCATGCTCTTCTGGGACCTCAGGGGTCTAGGGCACCGGAGGCTATGTCCTTGGAGAGGCAACCCTTGGCAGGAGCTTTGGGAGTCCAAAGCACAGCCTTTTCCACGGTTCTCTGCAAATGCTGGCTTCACAAAGGGGCTTGGAATCACATAGCAGCATAGCTCTAAGTGCCTGATCTCATCACTCAATCAGCACAGGTTCCTGGGGAGGGTGGCTGCACGCTGGGCCCTTCCAGGATGGGCATGGGCTGTTGCCCCTGGCGCTAAGGGCAGAGCAGGTGTGACAGGCACAGCCAGGGCAGTGACCAGCAGAAGGCTGTCTCCCCTGGGGAAAGGGGGCCTGCAGGAACCTGGGGCTGGTCTGCATATGATTCAGGGAGGCCCAAGGAAGAAGGCATGAAGTCATGGGTGCGTGGAAGGGACGGGCGGGGGCGGCAGGCTGGGAAAGGCAGAGCATGTGTCTTTGCCAGTTTGGTTTCCCGGCGCCACGCTCTACAAGGAACGCTGATAAACTGGTGCGAGTCCAGAGCAAAGCATGGTGCCAAGGGCATGAAGCTGAGCGGCTCAGCCAGGCCGAGAAGAAAGGCTGGAAGGTGCGATTGCTGAGAACACTCTCCCAGGCCAGTCCTGCTGGGGCCTGGGCCCCGGGTGCAGGGAGTGGAGGAGGTGCTGGGGCAGGGGCTCCCGGGGAGCTGTCCTACGATGGTCTTAGTGAGGAAGGGTCTTGCAGGACAGGAACCAGTGCAGAGCTGAGCCAGGCACCAGGCTGGTTTCTGAGGTCCTTTCCCACTGCGAGCCTCAGGTTCCAAGCGTGGTCTGGCGAGGAGACAGAGGCCTGGCCCGGATGACTCTCTGGCTCCAGACTCCACTTCTGGCTTGTCGTCCTTGGCCACCTGCTCGCCCAGCTCTCAAGGGCAGGCAGCCTTCCAGGTGTCTGGGCTGGTTTTCAGCGAAGGGCCCTAGACTGGGTCCTATATGCTCCTGCAGCGCCGCACAGCTTGGAGGGGGAGGGTGTCCTCACCGATCCCACATGGAAAGGACTCTGGAAGCTCCTAGAGAATTCTGGAAGCCTTGGACATCTGCCAGTGTTCAGCAGAGCCTTACAAGTTGCCTAGCTCAACCTTCTCAAATTACAGATGGGAAGATGGAGGCTCAGAGAGGGTGTAGACTCCCCCCCACACCGGAAGTGGCAGAGCATGGGTGAGAGCCAGGAGTTCTGGCTCCTCCTAATTCCAAAGTTCACTGCTCAGGGGAGGATATGTCCCTCACCTGGGGTTAGGCTGCCCAAGTTCAAACCCTGCTGCGTGGCCCTGGGTATGTCTGCCATTGTCACTTGAGAGAACGAGGGTTACTGTGAGGACCGGAAGGGCTAAACCCCGCTGACGGCTTAACACAACGTGAATTGCTATTGGCCACCGCCGCCATGGCTGATCAGTGGCAAAGGGACCAGGGTGATGAGAGCGCTCTGTAAACTGTAAAGTGCTGGGCGCATTTAGCAGGCATTTAACCACCATGAAGGTGGTTCCTGGGTAAACGTCACAGAGAAAAGTCTCTCCTGGGATTCACGTGAGGCCCGGGGAAAAGGCTGTGCGTCCGAGCACTACTCTGGTTGGAACTGGCTTTGGAGGAAGTGAGAGGGGATGCAGCCAGGGCCAAGGAGCCATGAGAAGTGGAAGAAGAGGGAATCAGCAGTTGGCGTAATGGCTATGTCGCTGGACTCCCACGTAGTCGACCGCGGTTCGAGTCCTGGACCCAGTGGCTTAAAACGCGCCGGGCGCGTGTGCATGGATGCCCAAGATCCCGAGAGGAGAATGGAGGAGAAGGGACTGCGGCGTGACCATCCCCCCTGGGGGGTGATTTCTCGCTTTCTGTCTCTATGTCTCTCTCTGTCTGTCTGGCGAGCGCACGTGCCCTATAGTGAAAACCTCTCCAAAAAAAAGAAGTGTAAGAAGAGAGACTACGTGAGGCACCCAAGCCTGGAAGACCCCTTCCCATCTCACCCCGGCGAAGACTCCCAGAGGGAAAGTGGCTGCCTCTAAGTGGAATGAGGCAGGCTTACCTGTGCCTCAGTTTCCCCACCTGTCAAGTAGGGATGGTAGTGTGGCGGTAAGGGGGTGGCTGGGTGGGGGGCTGGGGGGGCTATCAGATTCTCCAGGTCTCCTGACCAGGACCTGGTAGTATCCTGGGATGAAGCAGGATTCGGGACGAGATGCTGATGGATGACAGGCAGGGGGCGCTCTTGCCCTTCCAAGGCACCCTGGGAGACAGGGACGCCTCAGACCAGGGCAAGTGTGGGAAGATGGATGTCTGCGAGTGGGGAAATCAAGGCCCAGAGAACAGGGAGCTCATGTGCGGTCACGCGGAGAGTGGTGGGTGACAGAAAACCTCCCAGGGGGTGGCACTTGGGAGGCGCCAGGGCTGGAGAACTGACTTGTGCAGTGTGACAGGCGAGGTGGTGGGCCAGGGCTGAGCGAGAGAGGGAGGCCAGAGACAGGCCTGAGTGTCGTGGGGCTGGTACAGAGCCTGGTGGCTGTGTGCCCGTGCGCCCGTGGTTCGGGAGCGTCCTCAGGTCTCTTTCAGGTCCCAGCATTTGTGGCTGACTAAAGAATCTCTGGGAGCAGCAGGTCTGAGTTAGGCCAGCTTCGGTTCTTATGGACCTGAAGTTTGAACCCTCTACTCACATGGACTCCAGATGAAGACGTCTCTGCAGCCTCGTGACCCTAACTGTTCCACCTTCAGAATGGCTGCCTGGTGTGGCAGCGCGGGCCAAGGGTATGCAGCCAGACAGGCCCAGATCTGGGTCCTGGACGTGCCAATCACCAGCTGTGTGTCCTGGGGCAAGTAGCTTAATCTCTCTGAGTCCCGGCCTCTTTGTAATGACACAGCCTACCTCAGCGCACTGACTGAGTCGATACCGAGGACTCAGCGCAGCACCTGGTCTGTGTGATGAGTCCTCCCTAAAGGGTGGCTCATAGGTCACTGGTGATGACCTCTTTTCCTGATCATTTTGGATGTTTTGAAAATACAAGGGACTTCAAAAAGTTCACTGAAAAATGGGATTAAGGTATGGGTTTATTTTGGTGCAAAAAAAAAAGGAAATCTATGCAGGATTTTCATAATAAGCATTTTCCATGAACTTTTGGGAGCTCCCTCATAATAGATATGAAAGCCCCTGGCTCTGGGCCTGGTACCCTGAGCAGGTGCTCAGGGACCACCCTGTCCCCAGAGAAGCCGCTGTTCTAAGGGGAAGGGCAGCAGGCCCAGGTGTGGGGCAGGCAGTCCAGGACACGATGGGGAGGCTCCTGGACACCGCTGAGCACCTCCACACTCCCACCCCTCTATTGATGGGAGCCCAGGTCTGGCCTCAGGGCTTTGTGGGAACACAGTGCTTCTTGGAGGAGTTCAAGTCTTGGATGGGAGGGCAGTGGGGCAGACGTGAGGTCAGGGCCCTGCAGAATACCCCTCTTCCCAGCCCCTGCCCCAGACGGGTACTCACCTTCATCCCGTCGGGCCCCATGGGGCCACTGTCACCCTCGAGGCCTGGCTCTCCCTGGAAAGAGCAGTGGGAGAGACAGGAGCCATTACTGTGAAGAGGCCCCCTGTGCGTTGCCTTCCTCTCCCTGCCCGGGACAGGCCCCAGACCCAGATCTCCAGGTGGAGGGAACCTGGAGGCCCTGCCACACAGCAGGCATGCAGCAGCCAGAGACGTGAATGAATGAGCAGGAGATTAAGGCCCCACCCTCGGCTCTCCAGAAAGGGACCACAGACTGCTCTGTGTAAGGCAGGGGCACTTAGAGTTACAATGAGTTTGGAGGCTTTGGGTCAATTTAGGAAAAAAAAAAAAAATCTCTTGATTACAGGCCTTTTCAGAGCCTTGAAAATGCCATTGTTAATGTATAAGAAGAAACGCCAAGGATACACTGGGTCACAGACATTTTGACTACAGGATGTTCTTTTCCACGTCTGGGAAGCTACCAAGAAGGACTGGGTGAGGCCGTAAGTATGTGGTCTAGATCTGCAGTGGAGCAAACTGAGGCTCAGGAAGGTTACATAAAGCCTTTCTCTGCTCCCTTGCACGCACACACCCTCTAGGCTTTCCAAGAAAAAGAAATTTCCTTCAACTTACCCGCTGCCCAATGAGGCCCTGCTCCCCAGGGGTGCCCAGGGGTCCAAGGTCACCCTAGGAAAAGCCAAATACAAGTCCATGGAGGGTGGGTCGGGCAGCCCCAGCCCTCACCACCTTTCCTACTTCCACCAGCTCTGACCTGGGGTGGGGCAGGGGAGAGCTGGGAAGGTCTTTCTTCCCAAGGACCAAAGAGAAATCGTAAAGCTCCAATCAGAGTGCCTATTTCCAGGAAGCCTGCCCACTGGCTTCTCCTGCGCTGGGGCAGAAGGACCACCACCACCAACCCCCACCCCACCAGCCCCC